AGTTTTTCACTTTCCCAGGAGACGGGCGCTTAAGGCGCCAGGGGGAGTTCCCCGGGTTTATAAGAGGGTATAAAGGGGTTCCTCACAAGAAGGGATTCAAGGTAATCCACTTCCGGTTTTAGGGCAATGGTTGTTCCAAACCGACCAAAAGTTCAAGAATTCGGGGTTCCAATTGGTCCAAAACAGGGGTTTGTTACAGGGCCGTACCCGGATTGCAGTTGGAGCATGTTGAAATCCATGTTAGCATGCCCAAGTCCGATCTACCGAATCGGTTGGTAAAAATCGGTCCATTATCAGATTCTCTATTGTAACAAATTTTCGCAAAGGGACAGAGTTTTCTTGTTGCCGAAAAGGAAGATATTGGGACCATTTGGGGTTTAAGAAATTATATTTTTGCACCATACACTGAGGAAATTTTCTACACATCGATGCTTCTAAATTCATATCTATTGCTTTCTCCAAGGGAATCTCTATCTTACAAAGTATTGCTATGGCAACCACCTATCTTCTTTGGCATTGCCCATGTCCACCATGGCTACGAATTGTACTCTTCAGGAACACACACAATCGCTGCAATTATGGTGTCAACGATGTTCCAAGCGCTGTATACAACCCTGTTTGGTTCTTTAACGAATTATGTTTTTTTGAAAACTGGCGGTAACTTATGGGCATGTATCATATTGCATTCTTTCTGCAACATCATGGGATTCCCTGAAGGTTCAAGATTATTCACACACTTCAACTACGTCGAACAACCTTCTCCAAACATGGCTAGATTCGTATCGTTATGGAAGAAGTTCTACTACCTGTTACTTCTAGCTGGCCTATTACTGTTTAAAGATAACCTGAAATTATTGATAGACAATGCAAATCACAAGATTAACTTGTAGATATATTGGAATTTAATTTTAATAGAACCCATCAAGGTTGTAGTTGTAGTTATACTCGTCCTTGTATAGTTTAGTGTATATGACACTAGTTAGCAATATATATATATATGTCATTGGGTACGATAAGGTTAGCTTCAATTATTCACAATTGATTAAATAATGTAAATATATATCAAAAGAGATGGAATCAAGAAGAGTTTAAACAATCAATTTTGATTTAATGTCCAATATCTAAAATATCAAGGTTATTCTCAGGGCTGAACTTATTTTGGGAGCTTTTAGTCGTTATTTAGGATCCTATTGAAGTGGGGTTTTCTAAAATTGAGGGTCCATAACTCTCCTAAGGTGATATATTTCATAGAAGGTTTGGTTACTCATTTTAATTTAAGGCGAATTCTAATCAGGTACGCTGTATTTATTATATTCCAAAACTATTGTGTTCGAGTGAACTTAATTGCATTAGGAAGTGGGTTCCGAATTATTCCAGATAAAAGATATTTTCTTCCCTTATTATTATTTTTTAATTTTTAATTTTTTTATTTTTTAATTGATATTTTTAAATCAAGAGGTGCATCTAGCAATACATATTATTATCCGATTTTGTTGTTACCAGCAAGAAGTGCTTTATTTTAATCAAGGTATATATTCCATATTTTTGACGTACATACAATGGAGAATAACAGTGGAGGCACAATGGAGAAAACTAGAGCTGAAGAGAAAATTCAGAGGGATAAGAGGAAATCTGCTGTTCTTATAGCAGCACAATCGTTAGATCAAGAAGTACAGAATGTTAAAAATTTGAAAAGATTATCTATAGGATCCATGGATCTTTTAATTGATCCAGAACTAGAATATACTGTTAACAATCCATCAAGCCCTCCAAGTAGTGTCAATTCACAAAAATCATATTCGAGCAATGAAACTACATACGAAACAGCAGAAACATCCCTGGATAAGAAAGAGGGTTCATATTTGGAAGATTCTGTAGTTGATGCTTCAAATTCAAGTATAGCTGATGCCAGTGACAGTTTCGATACAACAGGTGTAGAATATTTGCACGATGGTAATGAACCAGTATCAAGCAATGAACAACTTGACAGTATAAAAACAGTTAAAGAAAATGAATTATCACAACCACAGTCGAAGAGAAACTTATCTGGTATTGGCGGCCTCAGGAGGAGTTCGAGAAATGTCACTTCAAAACCAGAAAATGAGACACAAGTTCTACCGAAGAGAAAATTAGAAAACAAGAAAGCATTTACAAACAATTTGCTGTGGGTTCCAGCTAATCAACATCCAAGTGTTAAACCACAGAATTTTGTAGAATTAGTACATGATACACTTCAAAATATGTCACTGGATGATGTGCAGACAAATGAATCAGAATCCAAAAATGAAGTTTCGAAAGATTTATTGAATACATTTTCAAGAGATATGAATATGAGAAATAAATCGTTGGTACGAAGACCATCAAGGTTACGAAAATCATACACAGAGTTTGAAGAGGAAACTGAAGAAGAGGTAAAACCTACTACCAGCAGTAATAATATTAATGAATCCAACAAGAAAAATGTTCAAGGAAAAAGAGCGGTTTCTTTGAAAGATATAGCAGATGAATTAACTGTAATATCAAATAATGTTGGTTTAAGTAACTCTGATGCTATTTCTTTAGCCAGATCCTTAAGCATTGCAGGTTCCATAGGATCAACATCTGAAGAAGAAGAAGAAGATAAAGTTTTGAACACTAGCTCTATAGGACAATCCGAGGAAGTATTCGCGTCTAACATTTTGGCTAAGAATGGGATCTCCATTCCGGCTAGATCATCTTTAAGAAGGAGTAAGTTTAATACATACAAAATACGAACTAGTGGTTCATCCCAAAAGGATGAACTTTCAACTGCACCTATAATACTCAATAGCGATGGAGGTAACATAGGCTCATTAAGGAGGACCTCGTCTTCTAGTTATATAGAAACGAAAAATAGACAAGAAGGAATATTTGATCATACACAAAGGAAATTATCTTCTGGAAGTATTGGTTCTTCAGATAATTCTACTGGGGCATTACCAGTCCCTCATGATTCTGATAAAGATTTTGATTTGTCTCATTCGTCCTTTTCAAACGATAGCAGCAATATCTCCAGTGATTTATCACTTGAAAGTGTATTAATACATCCTTCTAATTCACAGTCAATGCTACAAGAAAATCTCCACATAAGCAGTAGTGATGGCTATTCACCCAATAAAGAATTAGTTTCTGCATCTAGTTCAATTCAGAGTGATCATGATTCTCCCAATGATCCGCCTACAAATTCAGTAGACCCTGATGATCATGTAGTATCTAACAAATACGAAATCAATTCTGATTTCTTGAATACTGCATTTGCAGAGAGAACTAAGTCACAAAAGGTATTAGCTAATAGGAGCAACCATACGAAAAACAGACACTCTCCAATAATCACTAAGATAGAAAATAAAAAAGGTAAAAAAAATACATCAACTTCAAATTTGGATGATAAAGAAAGATTGCCTGATTCGAATTCTAAATCATCTGTTTCTTCCAACGGAAATGTAAGTGATTCTTCTGATAATCATAAAATTGAGAACAGCAACTCATCATCAAATGATAATGAGCCTTCAATTCAGGAACACAAGAAGGAAAGGTTTGAGAAGAAGCTTGTTAATTTATTTCGAAGAAAAGGTAATAGCAAATCACCGGCAAAGGATAAACTGACTAGGAAAAGTCAAAACCATGTTATAAAAAAGAAAAGCTCATTAACTAATATAAGACTTCGTATTGGTTCTTATAAGCAAGAGGAGCTATCGAATTCTAAATCAACTAAACCATCAGAAGAAGCTCAAGAAAAACCAGAGGGAAATCAAGATTATGAACAAGCAGAAGAAGAAATAAAAGACGTTGGTATTATAAATAGCACAACCGAAGATGTTTGTCAAGAAGAACCTATTGATGATCCAGCTGATGACACAGAGGAGGAAGATTATGACGCTAACGAATCTGCTACACAACTGCAGCCGGCCTTGAATGTTGTGAGAACGGCAAATGACAACTGTATAGTGGAATCTGTTAATGAGCTTGATGACGATGAAGATTCCCAGGATTTTAGTAACGGTAGCATATACACCGAATCAATTGCATTACAAAAAAATACTTATGCTACAAAAGATGTTACTATTCAAAATAATGATCTAGCAAATCAAGCTCCACCTACAATTCTCCCACCTAGAAAATTAACATTTGAAGATGTGGAAAGGCTAGACAGACCCAACGGTTCAATGGTTTTCACAGATAGTGCCTTTGGATTTCCACTTCCATTATTAACTGTCTCAACTGTCATTATGTTTGATCACAGACTTCCTGTTAATGTAGAAAGAGCAATTTATAGATTAAGCCATTTGAAATTAAGCGATTCGAGAAGATCATTAAGAGAACAAGTATTATTGAGTAATTTCATGTATGCCTATCTGCACCTTGTGAACCACTCATTATACATGGAACAAGTTGAAGAAGAATCAATGGATGCTTCATATTCAGATATGGATAACAGCGAAATTGAAACGGCAATTGCTGATAATGACCCAAATAAATGGAATTCGAATTCTTATAGAACTAACCAAAACGACGCTCATGGTGCAATATCGATTCCTGATTTATAGGAATCATAGCAAACCAAATTCTTAACCATTTTAAACTAGATATATAGTTTTTAATAATTTTCATAATGCATATTCAACTACATTTTATTAATTCTTAGTTTATGAAATAAACCAAGTGAGAGACATAAAGGTAAAGATAATGAAATATATTAAATTGACAGAAATGGAATTGAAGATTTATCCATTTCTTAATTCCTGTTAGAGATAGGAACAGCTTTTAATTGAATCAATAAGGTTTTACCATTTCATTACTATCACGTGCAACGAGCGCTTCATTAATAAGGTCCAATATTAGATTGAAAAATTTAGCTCATCTCGAATTTATCACAAGGTATAATAAGAGCAGCCTTAACTTTTAACTTAGATATTTGCAATATAGGTTGATTGAGCAACTGGCTTGATATTGGTAGAATAACGTAACATATTAGAATAATGGCAGGTGGAGCAGAGAGTAATTATCGTATGCTAATTCTTCTCGAAGAAGGCATGGAAAATTTGGATGAAGAGCAAACACAACAAGATAGAACTGAAGAACCAAAGGAATCTAAAAAGATGCATGAATTCGTTGACGAATTAGTATTGCCATTTCAGGTAGATGAGATTGACTCTTTGAACGATTGGTTTGATAAATTTGATGAAGAAATTTGCATACCGAATGAAGGTCACATTAAGTATGAAATCACTAGCGATGGTATTATTGTATTGATCCTAGATAAGGAAATAGAAAACGTTTTGGACAAAGTAAAAGAATTTGTTCAATCTAATCATGACTCCAAATAATAATATACATTATTATTCATTAATTTTGTATTCCAATTTGTACATTATTACATATATGAACTTTTCATTGTATCATTTTCCATCTTTCAATCGATGAATTGTACCAAAAGATTCCATTTTACCCATTTATAATGGCTTTTCTATAGAAATATAAATTCAATTAATAATTATATACTTGAATATTTAACAACATTAACAGAGCCTTATACTCTTATTATATACAATAAAGTCATATGATACCAACAAAAGCAAGTTGAAACCATAATAGAAGGCACTTACTTCTGGTTTAAATCTACATAAAATTAAATCAACGTAAATATATATATATATTTACATTTTTTTAAAACTTGTAAATCTATTTTATCATCGATAAGTAAATTTAACAATGTGTCATTGCCTTGACTATCCAGTGTTTGCTCTATATCAGAAAAAAGTAAGAAACAAGTCCATCAAGCGTACAGTTAGAACTTAATTAGTTCATTATTTAATTAGCAAGTAATATTGAGATGAGAATATATAATTTAACTGTTTGACTTCTGTTATCCCATTTAATTTTATTACTCGAACTTGTAAATTGCTTTTATTAAAAGTCACCATCTTAAAAAGAAATTACAAAGCCATATATAAGAATAAAGGGTTTAGAAGAATCAAAGATAATTATTATAATGGTAGTTATGATTTGTCACAGTGAGTTCTTGAGAAGTATAAATATTAGGTTAAAGTAAGAGTATTGTTATTTATTTCCTGGTTCTAAAGTACTTGTTACGATTTCCAAGAAAGGATTATATTTCAACAAGTGACATTATATAATAGCAAAATGAAAATTGAAGAATCCATTGAAACTTATATTCATATAAGAAAGACAACACTTACTGAAGAAAAATTAAAGGTAACAACTGATTATAATAAAGATTTTAATGAGAATGGATTTCTGAAATTGGATGAGCCACTATTTTGGCAGCTATTGAGTTCAAATTTTACAAGAGATTTCTATATTGACCAGGTCCATAAGCCTAGACATTATGGAATTGAATCAGCACCTATATTTGGTAATTTTTTAGAACCTTTTACCAAAACTCATTGGTTTATGGTTCCATTAATTTGGGGTCCGGTTGTTCTATACAATTTCATTGTTTCGTTAAGAGAAATTAGTATAATTTTGGCGATTACATTATTTTCAATTGGGGTATTTGTATGGACATTAATTGAATATTGTATGCATAGATATCTTTTCCACTTGGATGATTCAGTTCCTGAAACCAGATTATTTTTTGTATTGCATTTTTTGTTACATGGCATTCACCATTATCTTCCAATGGACAAATATAGATTAGTGATGCCACCGGCATTATTTTCTATATTATGTTATCCATTTTACCTTTTGACATTTGCGATATTTCCTAGATATTGGGCACATGCTGGGTTTGCTGGAGGACTGTTTGGGTATGTTTGTTATGACGTTACTCACTATTTTCTCCATCATAAGAAAATGCCATCATTTATGCGGAAAGTGAAGAAATACCATTTAGAACATCACTACAAGAACTTCCAGTTGGGTTTCGGTGTTACCAGTTCATTTTGGGATAGAGTATTTGGGACGTATTTGGATCCCAAGACCATACCTTACGCTAGGTCCAAGAGAACTACCTAATGGGAGGTAATGGTTTTTTAACGTTTATAAGTTTAAATAATTTAATCAGTGTGAAAGATAGCTAAAAAAGAAAAATTAAAAAAGGGAAGAGGGGAAGGGTGGAGGGAAAGGAAATGCAGATGAATTATTATAGATGAGAGAGATATGGAAATCCATTTGTGTATGTTACCCTACATTGAAATCACTGAGAAACTGCGAGAGGTGGAAAGACGACAAGAAGCGCACAATAACGTTAGTAAAGGTCCTATAGTGTAGTGGTTATCACCGTCGGTTCTGATCCGACTAACCCCAGTTCGAATCCGGGTAGGACCTGAATATCGCCCATAACTTTTTTATTTTTGCTTCCCTTACGCGTTTATGTTCAAGTGCAAGAAAGACAACGAGTTGAGCCAGAGCTGAACCAAGCACGTGACAGTCGGTCACATGGTCTACGTACCCAACGACCAACCAAACACCCTCACGTTCCTTCTCTCCCGTTTTTGCCGGCCTCGTCTTTTCCCAAAACAGAAATAAAAGAAACAAAACAACAACAACAACAATTTCCCTCTTCCCCTGCACCTCCGTCTGAGACCGCCCTTCCCGATGACGAATTTTTTTTTTGATTCCATCAATTTATGGCCCGTTTCTTTTTCCTTTTCCTTTTCTTGCGCTACTCATCGCACAGCACAGCACAGCAGCAACTGAAAAATTTATTGGTGAAACTTTTCGAAATTATGAAAAATGTTAAGCAGTTTCGAAAGTTTTCAGTCAACAGATGGTGATGATGGATGGGATGCCTAATGAATCTATATTGGTTGATTGATTTATTGAATTATTGATTGATGGATTGAAGCTCAATATTCTATTGTTCTTAGTTGTGACTAGGCTTATTATTGGGATTCTCAAATCTTAAATCATTTTCTTTGAACATCCACATTTATTTTTTTGATTTCTTTTTGGATCCATCAGCTATTGCTTTCTAGCTTTCGAAATTTTTCTGCTAAAAAGGGAAGAAACTTCTTTTTTGATATATATATATATATATATTGTTATCACACTGAAAGAATACCTGTTAGCGAACTCAGATATTTGAATTATTATTAGTTTTTTTGTTTTCTGATTCAGGAGGTATAATTTAATTGTGAAGAAGAAGAAGAAAAAAAAAATCTTTTGGAAATTGAATATTAAGAGATATTGCGATTTATCTGTACTGATTTATTTTTAAGACCAAGGAAAGAAAGTATTTTAAACAGTTTACAATATCTTCCTGCCATTTCTTCCTTCCTTCCTTCTTTTTTTTTTGCCATAGCATAAATACACAGTATACCAACTACATTTATTCAATACAACAATGCCAGCTGTTTTGGAAGATTACCAAAGAAACTTTTTGGAATTGGCAATTGAATCTCAAGCTTTGAAGTTCGGTTCCTTCACTTTGAAGTCTGGCAGACAATCACCATACTTCTTCAACTTGGGTCTGTTCAACACCGGTAAATTGTTATCCAATCTAGCTACTGCTTATGCCATTGCTATTATCCATTCAGATATAAAATTCGACGTTATCTTTGGTCCTGCTTATAAAGGTATCCCTCTAGCCTCTATCGTCTGTGTTAAGCTAGCTGAAATCGGTGGTACCAAATATCAAAATATTCAATATGCATTTAATAGAAAGGAGAAAAAAGATCATGGTGAAGGTGGTACTATTGTAGGTGCTTCTTTGGAAAACAAAAGAATTATTATTATCGACGACGTCATGACCGCCGGTACTGCAATTAATGAAGCTTTCGAAATTATTGCAAAGGAAAATGGCCAAGTTGTCGGTTCAATCATTGCATTAGATAGACAAGAAATCGTAAATTCAGAAGATAGAGACGGTTTATCTGCCACCCAATCCGTCAGCAAACGTTACAACATTCCTGTCCTAAGTATCGTCACTTTAACCGATATTATCACTTATCTAGAAGGCAAAATCTCTCCAGAGGAAAAGGAAAAAATTCAAGAGTATCGTCAAAACTTTGGTGTTTAAAAATAGCCATCATCAATGTTTCTCTTATGTTAAAAGCTATGTCATTTGAATAACTTTTAAACATGAACATATATATATTTAACCAATTTTAAAAAATAAAAAATTTTCTAAAGAAAGGCAAATAAAGATGTAAAAAATTATCTTATTCATTTCTCATAGTAATGAAATTCTGTTTCATTGATAAATCTAAAAAAAACATTCATCTGTATTTATTGTTTATATGTGTGTCCTTAAATTATTTCTATTTTTACGCATAGTACATGACAAATATTACTTCTCATCGATCTCGTGAGATATCTTTCAAGAAATAATAATATATTCAATAAACTTGTCAATAGCGTTTTGATGCTATAATAATAGCAATTCATTAATCTATAAATATTACTTAGGTTATCAAGAAAAGCAAATAAACAAGAACAAATTAAATTGTCACAGGATAGATGGCCATTTCACGTAACCGATCCGATACACACCTTAACTATCCGACTTCAAAAAAACCTCATCGATAATGACATCTAATATCTCTAATATTAAGCTTGTATTAATATATGGATTCTGAACCATTCCATGTATTTTAAGTGCAGCTTCTCTAGAACTTCTTAACCCGACAACTTTCCCTGTAAGTTCAATAAATAATGACTGTAGTAATAATTGGGCATCTGCTTGGCTTTTGTTAAGTTCTATAACTGATCTTTCCATCTTTATCTCATTGTTTTTTTTGTCAAGTAATCCATCTGCACCCCAGATAGAATCTCGTAGATCAACTATTATTCTTGATAATGCCTCTTCACTTTGATATTTCATAACTGTAGATTTAACAAACTTATCAATGGTGTTACCAAGCAACTGTCGTAATACTGCAACAATAGCCTTCCCACGTATCCAAGTTGTATCATCATTATTTGCAGAAAATATGGAAAGGAATAAATTGCATATGGGCTTTACATATGACACTTCTTCTTCATGAGAATTAAATCCTTCTTCATGACCAGAATGAGAATGATAATAATGATCATTGACTATATCTGTATCTTCAAAATCATCATCTACAATATCCAAAAGCATGTCAGAGCTTGATCTTTTAATAACGCCACTATTAATATTCAATGCTTTAGAAGTCACTTTACTTTGGGACTTTTTATCAATAGTAAATGATCTACTATCAGTTAAAAATTTTCGAAATATTTCATCATCACAAATTTCAGGAATTACAATCAGTTTCCTTAAAAAGGCCTCTAACTTGTTTTGCCTATCTTCAAACAGTAATGTTTTTGAAACATGGAATCGAAAAGAAATATTGATTCTCTGAGGGAAATCTAGCTTGCAATTTAGTTTCTTGAATAAATTACCATGTTTGTCATTTAAGTAAGAATATAATTTAACAAATTCACTAAATCTTCTGGCAATTTTCCATGACTTCTGATTTATTCTATAATCAAATTTGATATTAATTAAATAATAGACAATTTCTGGGCCGTTTTCAGTTTGATAATCTATAAAATGTGATCTGACAAAGACATCACTTTTCTGGAATAATCTATTGGTATTATCCTGAATAGTATAACGTTGGTGCAACAATTCATATTTTTCCAAATCCTTTTTTATAGATCTTTGCGATTTTTCTAATAGTTTCAGTTCTGATTGATTATCGGTTAAGTTAGCCTTTAAGATCAAATGACTTAATAGTTGAAGTTCTTTTTCCAAACGATCAATTAACATTGTAATATTTGCAATCTCTTCCTTGACGTTTAAGTGTGTTTCGTTTTTTAAATTAAATCCAATGCTGATGACACTAGAGTGTCGTTTATTAGTAGTTTTAGGTTTTGAGACTTCTTCTTTCTTGGTTGCTCTTGCTTTGACATTGTCTAAATTCAATATATTGGATTCTATTTCATCAACATTATTCATATCTGTTGATAAAAGTGTGGATAACAGTGACGATTCAAAGGTATTGGAAGTACTTGAAGTCGATTTTACTGATGTATGCATAGTTAAAAGAGTATTGAGCAGAGAATATGGATTGGATGACAATAAAAACGTAGACGTGCTGTCTTGCGTCTTAAAAAATTTAGAAAATAATGAGACAGTCGATCTATTAGTTTCAGATAAAAGTAACAAAAACTTTTCAGTATTTTTAAATGAAGTTAAATAATCATTTTCCAATGACTTTCTTGCTTCATCTTGTAATAATAACAGACTTTTCCGAATCAACATTATTGTAGTTTCTTCTACTTTGCCATTATCTTCATGAAAGATAGAAATATTTTCGACAAGTCCATCGTCTAAATTCTTTAAAATATCCAATTCATTGGCTGTTAATACTGACGATATATTTTTTAATCTATTCAGTTCAGAATTTGTAAAGCTTACTGAAAATTCTCTATTGTTAATATCTTCTAAAGGGTTTTTTATTTCTTCCACAATTTCCCAAAATTTAAAATATACCATACCTTTTTCATAATTACTTTCTCTTAAAAAGTTTTTGAATGAACTCATAAAATCCTGATAATGACGAATATCTTCAAATGTTATCGATGAAAGGAAAGAATCAAATATTGCAACTACTTTGTCGGTGCTTGATAATGACAGGTCTGGAATATGTTTTAACTCATCGTTATTTGACTGTTGCCTTAAAAGTTTCAATTTCGTCTCGATTAGATTCAGCGACAGCTGAAGTCTATCACGATATTTCTCCTGTTTTTTACTAGTAATCTTTTCCTTATTCAATTGCGATATCTTGATTAAAATTGCAAAGAATACAAATCTAAGATGTGTCACATCATTTAAATTGCTAATTCCTTTCAAGTAGTGTTCAAAATGTTCTGAAGATGAATTTTCTTGGAAATGTGCATCCATACTGAAAAGATTTAATTTATCAGGACTAATTTTACGATGAGAAGTTTCCAAATCAATTTTATCAGATAGTAATTTCTTTACTTGATCGATTTTTTCCCTTTCTTCCAATATTTTTGTTGATAGTTCGATAATTTTAAGATTCCAAGTGTCTGGATTAGAGAATTTCAATATTAATGGGACCAAGACACATGAACTCAATATTTCTCTCAAAAGGATATTAATATATGGAGACGACAATTCATCTTTTGGAATTAACAGTGGTAGAAGAACTATAATCTTATTCTTGATATGAGTGTCTACATCAATTAGATGTTTTTTAGTTCTAAGGGACAGTGAGTGGTGAAGTCTGTGTCTTTTGTTGAATTCTACAGCCAAATTCAAATCGATATTACCATATTTTACACCCCTTACAGATGAGCCCTTTAGTATTATCCTTTTAGATTCATTGAATACAGAGATATATTTTGTTAAAATTGGAACTATTTTGAATAATACGATAGATGCAATATCACATTTGCTTAAGGATAATTGTATATTATCAACAGCACCAGTTAATATACTCTTAACGATTGTTGGGAATTCAGAATTGCTACTATCATTAATCCTTTCGAACCAACTCATCACAAAAGAGCTGATGATTAAATCTATAGTTAGTCCTAATTCTGTTTTTACCGATAAGTTATTATCTATAGAAGGTAGTTTAAGCCCCACATTGTTATTGTATTGTTCATATCTTGCATTTGGTTTGAGTTTCAATTTCTTGATAATTGGATCATTTTTCTTGGGTAGCTTTATTGTTATAAGTTTATAAGTTATGAAAACAGTGAGAAAAGTTAGGATATTAAGGTATATGCTAGTTAAAATTGAAGGCAGAGAATAGAAAAGACCAAATATTAGCAAAAATGAAACAACTTTCAACAAATGCCCATTATAACACATATATATATTATATGAAATACCTTATATGCAGTGCTTTATAAGCTTATCTGTAGTTGTGTTCCATCGACTTTTTTATATAAATGTATAAATAGCAGCTTTAATTTTTAATCGAACACGAATTTCAAATAAGTAATATTTAGAGTACTCTGTAATAAATATTAAAGGGTACGTCTAGATATACACAGTTGTATGAATTGGGTTAAGGAACATTAAATCGATATGTAGTATGATGAATTGACTTAATATATCTATTTTTGAATCAAAGTCATACCATCATTTTTAAATTATCTATAATTTTAATGCATCATAATCTATATAAAATTATAAATGAGAAAATTTATTGTACAAGTAAAGTTATTAATGAATGCAAAGTATTTGTTTCAATAAGTATCATAATTAAGAGATTATTTCTTTGATTGCTTGTCTCTTTTATCTTTCTTATCTTTCTTATGCTTCTTGTCTTTTTTATCTTTTTTATCTTTTTTATCTTTTTTATGTTTCTTATCCTCCTTATCCCTCTTATGTTTCTTGTCCTTCTTGTCCTTCTTGTCCTTCTTGTCCTTCTTGTCCTTCTTGTCCTTCTTGTATTTCTTATCCTTTTTATCTTTCTTATCCTTCTTAACTTCCTTGACTCTCTTTTGTTTCTTGGACTTTAAACCATCATCTGAGCTAGATCTCTTACGCTTCTTGCTTGATATCTCTTCATCATCAATAAAAACATACCCACTCCTTTCCAGAATCTTCTTATCAATAGTTCCTTTCAAACTCTCACCTCTAACAAACCATTTGTACAAAGGAGATGATTCCTTAGAAACTCCAGATGCAACTACCTCATTCTGCTTAAAAGATATACCACTCTTCGAACTCACATTAACATCTAAATTCTTCAATTGACCATCAAAAAGTCTCTCCCACCATGCTTCACTATCATCGCCACCTGGTGCATTCCCAAGACCTTTCTTGTCCTTCTTATGCTTAACCAAAATAGGCTTCTTTAATCCACCAGCTCTCAAAGCTTCACCTTCTTCCCAACCATATGACTTCAAATAAGCTTTAGAATCCATAATAAATGCCAAAACTAAAACCAAATCAACAACAAGATCAAGTTCACAAACCTTTAGTCCTCTCTCAACTCTAAGTTCACCTAAACTTCAACCTAAACCCCATCTCGTTGTTCTTGTTTAAGTATCTCATCTCATCTCATCTCATCTCAAAATTTTTCACTATCGGATATTATCAAAAGAAGGATATATTATGACATCTCGAAACTACTTAAACCATCTCGATGAGTTTGATGAGTTTGATTTAAAAAAGGTGGTTAAGGTAGTTGATATAAGTGATTGGTGGTTATCCTGTGGTTAGTTTGAGAATTCATGGAGATTTTATCGTTGAAACGTAAACATCATGCTGGTGATGGTGATATCGATGGGAAGAAGAGTAAACAAAGTTTGACTAAAAACAGAGAAGTCGCTACAGTACTAGTTAAGAATTTACCAAAGAGTGCTAATCAAACTAAACTCAGAAAGTATTTCCATGATTGTGGCGACATAGTTCAAATTGATGTTATGGAAACTTTGGATAAAGGTGGTAGAATCGCTAGGATTGAATTTTCTAGTCATGACGAAGTTCTTGCTGCATTGACGAAAACTTATAAGAAATTTGGCCAAAATGAAATAACTGTAACAAAATTAGAGAATTGCACAATTTGGTTGACAAATTTTCCACCTAATTATAGAATCCTAGATTTAAGAAATATATTTGTCCAAAATAATGTATTGCCCTTAAGTATACGGCTTCCATCATTAAGATATAATAGCAATAGAAGGTTTGCCTATGTTGATGTCATAAGTCCTGACATTGCTAATGAAATGGTAAATTATTTAAATGAAATGGTTATTGATGGGTTTAAGGTAGTGGCTAAATTATCAAATCCGTTAGAGAAGTCGGATCGTTCCGATGCAGCTTTATTGGAACATAGAGAAATATACATTACTAATTTAGATTCTGATCAAATTACAGAACAAAAACTATCTGAATGGTTTTCAAAATTTGGAGATATTGAGCGTATTAAATTGGTTAAAAATGAAAATGAACCTGGAAATACTAGTTATGCATTTATCTCGTTTACCTCATCCGATTCAGCTACTAAAGCTTTAGAGTTGCATAAGGAAACCCTTGAAGGGAATACAATTACAGTGACACTAGCAAACAAGAAGTCTTATTTGGAAAGGCAAGAGGTGAAACGTATTATCTATTCTAATCGTAGACAGAATGATGATTTGATGATTTCCTTGTATCCCTTAAGTGACAAAACTTCGAAATCTCAAGTATCAGAACTATTAACAACAAATTTAAACATTCAAGAGGCCGATATTAACAAAATATTATTAGTCTCTGATTATCAAAGTGCTATTGTTATTATGAAAAATCGGCAAATTGCTGCTAAATGTTTAATGGCATTGGATGGTATACAATTTCAAAAGAAGAAACTTCACTGTACTACAATAGATGGAATGAAAAGATCACAAGCACAAAGGCAAAAACCAAGTAGTAACCCTCAAACTACTTATCCATCAGAAAATTTTAATATCACCTCATCAAAGGTCCAAACAGCATCAAAGAGTAATATAAACAAAATTGAAGACAATGGCTCTAATCAGAATGATACATCGACAAAGCCCATGTCTAATGATGACTTCAGAAAAATGTTCTTAGGCAAATAGATATAATTATCATGAATATGTAAGGTTGCGTTATTTATAATCATTTAGTATTTACAAGGTACTCAATAAAGCATTTCTTTAAATTCATAAGTAGTACCATTTATCAATGCTGGAAGGAATTCTGGCAGGTTCCTTTTCTTCATGTTCTATAGAAACGCCAGAACCAGCCCTATCCAATAATGGAGTATCTTGAGTCTTAACCATTCCAGATTCTAGTCTCTTCCAAGATTCATAACATTCTTTGATAATTTCGATAGTTTCATCTTTATCTTTATATTGGCCATCAAAAGCAAATTCATTGGCAGGTTTTCCATCAGGAATTTTGTAATTTCTGAACCAAGTTCTCGTTGAGTCTAATAAACCTGGGAAGTAAATGTCTACATCCCTAATATTATTTAATTTTGGAGCTAGGGTATCATTAACGTTTATTACTATAACTTTCCAATCAAGCTCACCATCATCAATTAAGGCAAGAGATCCTAGAACTTTAACAGTGGAGATCTGTCCAGTTTCCATTAGTTCCGAACCAATCTCACAACAGTCCAAAGGATCATTATCACCTTTTAAACTTTCAGTACCATTAATCTTGCTGAATTCAGTGGAGTCTTCCCAAGTTTGTGGAATTGCACCATAATTATGAATATAACCTTTAAAAGGAAATAAATTCTTAACAAACCTCACTTGTCCATTTTTAACATCCTGTACAATAGGATTATATTTGTCTTCTTTAGAAATTTCAAATTTGGCATTAGACCAACGAGTAACCTCAGTGACCATTTGGACAGTGCCCTCACTCTCATTCAAATTTAAAGGAACATCATGGAAATAAGAACCGATTTCACCATTGGGTAACTTTAGATACTTCTTATAATCTGAAGTATATTTGGTACCAACTGAAGCTGAATGGAAGTTCCTTTCAGGTGATAAAATCTGTTTAGCCTGTAGAAGTCTCTTCATTACTGCTGAACCTCTGAACATTTCAAACTAATGGAAATGGAATCAAAAATATTAATAGAACGTGTAAACGATATCAGATTAATGCTAATCAGATATCCATACCCCTTATATATGTTTTTAATATCTGGTTTAGTCAACTGTTGTAAATTTTTCAAGATATCAAGGTTCTTATAAGCTCGGATGAACTCTATAAATTTAATAAACTGGTAGATGGAAGTTGTTATAACAACTACATTATTGATGTATAAAGTTGAAGACTTTTCTAAGTATAAAAGATATGTGTAAAACTATTAATTATTAATGGAAGTGTATATGTGATTATGTAGTATAAATTAGAATCACTTGTATGGAAATAAATTTGAGCAAAGGAGAAGCTCAACCGATAACATTGTCTCCCTTAGTAAAAAAGTGAATAAATGGTCAACATTACTTTTAAAATTACAATTTGGTTATGATATGAAGAGAGTGGCTGGATAATGATGATGATGCACTTATATATGCTAGTATGATTTTAGAATTAGTTTGTATTTGAATCGCTTGATAAGATTTCCTTAGAGTCGTCGAAAGGATCTAGATCATCTTTCGATTTTCTATGGGAAAATTCAACGTTAACAATGTCTTCTTCTTCAATTAGATCATCGTAAGATGGTGGTCTTGAATCATAGGTAGCATTACCTTTGTCATCGAAATAAGCACCTTCGTTGGAGATTTTAATGATTCCTTGGAATTCCTCGATTAAAGCGTCAGAGAACCCATATGGATCTTTTGGAATCCATAGGAAAGGGCATTTTGCACTAACAGCAGGGTAGTCATACGCATGAACGATGTCATCATCGTCAGTCTTTTCATTTGGATCTTGTAAATGGTAGATTTCGGGAATTCTAGTCTTAACAGCTTTGTAAGAGGAATATTCGTGGACATTGAAAAATCTCTTCCAGAATCTTGGAATTGCGACCTCTGTGGTGTTACCATCTGCCAACAGAGGGTTTAGGAACATATTATTTTCTGAAGTCTCCATGTTTGGATATTCAGTTTTATTGTCGATCTCATAGGTATATTCCAATTTTTTACTTTCATTACTGTCATTATTAATATTGGAATGGTATTTTCTAATTGGAAATGCTGGTAATTCTTTGATTCTATCTTCAGGGTTAACAAGATCTTTCTCCAAGTTAATATATGATACTGTCTCTGATTTACCATCCAATGGTTTCATTGTGTCAATAGGAATAAATTTGATCAAATGATCAAAACAATGGTTAAACATTAAATGAATAAACAATGTTACACCTAAACCAATACATTGTAGTACAATTGGTCCCCAACCTTTACCAAAGACAAACAAACCCAATAGACAAATTTGACCAATGTAAATACCTACAATTGTTTGGAATAATGCTCTTGGATAATGAACACCTCTTGAATCTGGAGCTTCTTGATAAACATAATTCAAATTGTATAAGTAAGAAACCCACAGTAAGAAGAAACCAAATGCACCAAATAACAGAATAATTGGAGAAATTATAGCATATGAAAATACGATGACAGCCAAATTTGTATAGATTGGGAAAGTGGTACCCCAGTCAACTGATGAAAGAGTATTAAATCTATTAAACTTCTTTCTTGGAGTTTTATCAAGTATGTTACCTAATAAATAATATAGTAACAATGGAACGAATTGCAGCAGCATACCAGATGATGCAGCCATACCTTGTAAAACAATATAAGCAATATAAAAGTTGGAAGCTTTTGGTAAATTTGTAGCTAACAAGAACATTGCACTAGCAGGATTTTCAACAATTTGAGTAACGGTTGAAGTAGCAGCAGATGTAATAGTTGTAACTAAGAAAACTTGGATAACTTGGAATGCAAAATAAGCTTGTTGAGTAAACCTCTCTACATTTTGATGTGATGGAGCACCACCAAAAAACGCCATTGCTCTAATGAAAATTGGCAAACACATCATTAATAAAGCCAATGCAATAGTTGGTGCTAAAGATGTTAGGATACCCAATAAAACATCTGGTAATTTATAAATGAAGTTTAGCCAATGCAATTTATTAGTCAAATATGTGATATTAGAGATCATGCCAACAAAAGCGACAGGGAAAGACCATAAAATAACGACTACAACAATTGCAATAACAGCAGCAGATTTTCTAATTAAACGTTCAACTGGGTACATTCTTAAATTAAACCATATGATATCCTTTGGATCAATACCAATATAAGCAGGAGTTAAATTCAATGGACCATGATATGTCAACACTTGAGATGCGATTTGAGCATGGTATTGAGATTCGAAAAGGACGAAAACTGAATTGATCGGTTTAGAATCTAATTGATTGCTTTGCAATTCTGCAACTTTTTCATTCTTCTCAGGCAAGATGTTCTTATAATATTCGAAAGTGTCAATCTTTTTGGAAAAGAACAGTTTCCATTTATTCTCTCTGTGTTTTGGCTTTTTGACAAAATCATCGATTGTTGATTCTTGTATTAAAGTACCATAGGAAGGGTCCTTCTTTTTGATTTTATTTATTTTTTTTATAGCCTTTTGTAAATATGCAGTAAGGACACCTTCTAAGTTGTAGGCCAAGTCATCTCTTTCTTTGACCTTTTTATCTAAACCAACTGGGGATCTAGCAATCCAGATTTTTTTCACACCAGAGAATAGCTTGGTAAATTCAGTTTCACTTAAATATTGATCTGGCACATTTTGGAACAATACTGTCTTTGAAGATAACTTTTTGGCATATCTGTTGGAAGATAAAACGTTTTGTCTCAATGAGTTATAGTAGTATAATTCTCTATAGACAATGAATAAGAAGCCCCAGAAGAAGATCCAACTTATGAAGACATGTGCATAATAACGTTTTGAATCCTTGATATTTTGGTAAGCCAAAATGTTTAGACCAGTTTCATTATTACCATTTGCTGCATTGACAGGAAGCAAAATTGGGAAAATATAAAGCATTGAGACAGCACAGTATGAGAAAATAATGAAAAGGTATCTTAAAAACAGATAACCATCTAAACCTGCCTGCTGAATGATGAAATTGTCAGATTTTTTCAGTAATGGGATGAACCATTGCCAGAGACCAGATGGTAAAGGCTCTGGTTTCTTTTCTTCATTAATCAAATCATATGAAGATTTAGGTTCATAAATTCTTTTTAATTTCAATCTTAAAAGAAGGAACCCTGTCATAAATGCACCAAATAATACACTATTAGCAGCAAGTGCGGTAAGCACTTGCTGTGTAGATGTACCATTTTCTTTATCGTAAGTACTCATTGTTCGCTTACAACACTGTGTCTTTCCTTTAGGAATAAGTAAACAATAAGAATAAATGGAATCACGATGTAATTAACATGAGATGAGATATCCAATTATTTGACAATTGGGAAAGATCCCTTAGTCCTATCTACTTATATATAAGAATATATATAAAACTAAACGATTAATTGCAACGTGTTGTCGGTTTCAAGATATTTCAGTGATGAGGCAGATAATAAAGGCAGACATCTCTTGTGACTTTAGACCTAATTAGAACAAAATAGCTAATCAACAAAGAATTGCAACGAACAATGCGAAGCTAATGTGTTTTCTACTGTATGTTTCATTAAAAACTTTTAATTTACCTAGTGATAGATCGAAATTCGACTACGTGACAATGATACAATGTGAAATTTTTCACATTTCTTTTTTTTGTCCAGATTTTGATTACTTTTTTTTCCGGACATAAATACATTTATTCCTCCTGGACCGATTCTTAGCAAAACTCGAAAGTTGTACAAATCCCAGCTTTTGTTTTTCTTTTTTATTGCTTGGATATTTTTTAGTTCGAAATCTAAATTCGACAATTAGTACTATAGGATTTCAATAAATAAGGACAAATTAGGATAAATTAAGACAATCTGCTGTATCTAATTCCTTAAAGCAGTAAGAAGGGAATTGAAACAAGAAAGGTGCTTTCCTGAGGTTTAACTAGTTTTCTGTTCAATAGCCAACCCTTCCGTCAAAGGTTTTACTATCAAGCTTCAACCAAATTTATAAATAAAACATAACCCATTGTGTTGAGGTCTACAGCATTACGTGTGGTGATGGGTTCCGATAAATGTATCTTATCTTCATGATGCCATGAGATTGCTACGTATACTAAATTGTTGAGAAAAGAGTACATTCGTATACAACTAATAAGCCTGTTTTACAGAATGTGTTTTCTACGGTAAAACTATACCTATATGTAGACATTGTTTCTTATATCAAGAGGGGCTATATATAGTTAATTTCCGATTGTAGTCTATGTTTAATTAAGCTTATTTTACTCTTTTTTACTTTGTCCTCCGTGTTGACCAAGGTGGTTATTTAGAATTGAAACTTTTCGACATTTATAATTAGATACAAAGTGATAACCAAGAGGTTGTGATGATAGATATGTAGCTACGAAATTAACCAAGACAGTGCTGGATTGTTAAATCGAGATAAGTATCCGGAGGTGAGAGGGGTTCTTGTTGGTTTGATAATACGATTATTACATTTATTTCCCTTCCTAACTTGTCCCAGAATTCATTCATCTTGACTAGACCCATTAAAATGTGAAAAAAATCGGAGTCATACCAAAAATCAAGTATTGATATTTAGAGCTTTATAAGTCTAATACAATTCTAATTTCGGAAATCTTTATTCTTCTATAGGGTCACGGAATAGTAACTTAAGTGAATAATAATGGAGAACATGTTCTATAAAGTCATCACAACGTAATTCTGACGTTAAAATTAGTTCATCGATAGTGAATCCCGAAAACACACATTATCGCATCAACATCCATTACAATTCATCATTCATGGAGTAAAGATTTCTATTTGCCTCTGAATTCCATGCAATGCAATGGTACTATATATTAATAGTATGCATCATGTACTTACAATCTAGAATTTTGTTGATTTGGCAATATAATGAACTTCAATAAGAAAGGAAAGGTTAAAAAAAAATTATTAATATAACATGCATAGTGGTGCTCTAGATTAATCCAATTTCACCTGGATGTTATAGTTACTATCTTGTTTATTTAGATTTGATTATTTACACAATTATGGCAAATATTGGCTCACTATCAAGTGGTGATGCAATCTTGTTTATGTTTCAAGTATTAATTACTACCATTTATTATCATTGGGATATGAGCTACATAATCTCTAAAATACTATTTTAGTTTCATCTATGACTAATTTGAAGAATCATTTGTAGAAATTTTTTTCTCATTATTCCAATGGAGTCTCTATCCACATAATATCATAGCAAGAATTCTTCATTTATATATTTTTATATTGGTATTACTAAAACTAATTCATCACTGTATAACTTATATCTTCATACACCGGATATAAAATATTATATGATCAAAATTAGAATATTGATTCCAAAAGAGCAAAACATTTCTGCTCTCTATGAATTTTTAACTACCACTTGAGTTACTTTGTTGTCAGAATTATGAGGTAACACGTGATATATACGTATTACGACATTATTCATATAGGATAAAGAAATGTTACTTTACACGAAAGTGTTATTTCTGACGTTAAAACTTTTCCAACACTTTATATGCTGACATTGGTCATGTGACGTTTCTTATAAAGCCATATTATCATGTCTCACGAGTGTCTGTCCGAAGTGAAAATTCTTCAAGGCATCTTGAAGTATAAAAGAACCTTATGTAACGTCATATATTAAGTAACTATGTATCAGAATAAAGAAATGATCCAGTTATCTAGTAAACCAGTGACGATGACGGTTAGGAAGAATTCGCTATAGGCAAGAACGGTTAAGGGGAATAGAGGCTATTATAGAGTACGGAGGACATGACAGAAAAGTTGAATATAGGGAGGATGGATTAAAGTGGCAATAATAGCAAGAGCGAAAGTTGTGGAAGAGGAAAAAGGAAGAGTCAAGAAGTGTAAAGGAGATGTAGTATGAGAGAGCTTTGTGTGGGGTGTGAGGATCAGGTTGAAAGAGAAGGAAAAGAATGAAAACGGAGGTCGATCAATCAGTTAATGAGTGTCAAACCAGACTTTATAAAGATAGTTAGGCAGGTGTTCGAGAAGCGAGGTGAGAGACTGCAAACGTTTAGTGAAGGGAGAGTACTGAGAGCGTGTAGTTGGTGATACAGTGAGATTCCGGTTAGGACAGTGGTAGGACGCGATGATAGTGATAGAATGTAGAGGAGTTGCAGAATATTATAATGAGTGTATGATAGTGAGTAGAGCCGGTGGGCAGATAGTTAGATGAGGAAGGAGATATTATAAAGAGAGAGGAGGCTACGGATTGTAGACATAGAGATTATGTATGAGTAGATGATG